CTGGCAATGTAAAAAACCAATGTTGGAGAAACTAGCTTCATACCTGTCTTCTAAGTCCTTGGTGCAGAAGCAAGGTTAGAAACAGATTTCTGCCTGTTGCTGAAGGTGGAGATAATTTCTACAAGCAAGTTCTACCTGCTTCAAGTATTTAATTTTTTTGTTAAATTAACTTGGTATTCTTTTTTAGGGAGTTGTAACACAGAAGATTTCAACTAGATACCTTGTCATTTTACTCCCATCCTCTGTTACAGACTGAGTCAATACCAGACTGTGGAAATGACATACTTCCTGAAGGAAACACTTCAAACAAGCACCTCACCTGGCTATTCTGGTGAGATTTGTTCCTTCTGGATACACACCCTTTACAGATGCGATTACTTGCAACTGACAGTATTCTCTTAAGTTGTTAGAAGCTTCCCAAAACACAGGTATGCTATTTTGCAATAACTGTAGCATGACCTGAATCAGTTTTGGAATTTTATTAACTGTGCATGGTGCATTGTATGAGCGTGCTTCAGAGTCAACCATTATCATGCCAGAAATATGCAGACAGACCAATAAGTAATGCAAAGTGTATTTTCTAAAGTTAATATAGAGAAGACCCTTCATGTTAGCCCTCCACCAAGAATTCCCACTTCTGGGCAATAATCATTGAGGATCGCACTATCAACAGATTCCTCAGTTATCACATCTCATGCTGCCTTAATCTCTGAGCAAGCTGCTTTTACAGTGATGCACTTAATACAGGTGATGCAGATTCCTCCCCAATGGGACTGCACCATCACCTAGGTTTCATAGCCTAGATCATGGCATCTTCATGGCATGAGGTTTATGGTGCCAACAGACAAAACTTTTTCAGCAAGAATCTCTTTTCATGGGGAGGAGGAGGTGTCAGAATATGCCAAACCCTGTCTTAGGGCTCTGCCTCTCCTGAGTCTTTTCTGTAGTTCTTCCCTCCTGGGCAGGGAGTCTGGAAGACTATCCCAATACAAGTACTTGTTTTGGGTTTGTGTGGCAGGGTTTTGGTAGCGGGGAAGGGGCTGTAGGGGTGGTTCCTGTGAGAAGCTGCTAGAAGCTTCCCCAGCTCCAAGTCAGACCTGCCTCTGACCAAGGCCAAGCCCATCAGTGACAGTAGAGTGCCTCTGGGAGAACAGATTTAAGAAGTAAAAACATGCAGTGGAGAGGGGAGTGGAATGTGAGAGAAACCCCTATGCAGACACCGAAGTCAGTGAAGAAGGTGGGGGAGGAGGTGCACCGGAGGAGGTTGATGCCCCTGTAGCCCATGGTGAGGCAGCAGGCTGTCCTCCTGCAGCCCATGGAAGTGAGCAGTGGAGGACCCCATGCTGGAGCAGGTGGATGCCCCTGAAGATGGCTGTGACTCCATGGGAAAGCCCACGCTGGAACAGTCTGTGACTGAAGGACTGCAGCCCATGGAAAGGACCCACACTGGAGCAGTTCGTGAAGAACTGCAGCCTGAGGGAAGGACTCACTCTGGAGAAGTTCGTGGAGGACTGTCTCCTGTGGGAGGAACCCCACGCTGGAGCAGGGGAAGAGTGTGAGGAATCCTGCCCCTGAGGAGGATGAAGCGGCAGAAATAATGTGTGATGAACTGACCATAAACCCCATTCTCTGTCCCCCTGTGCTGCTGGCAGAGAGGAGGTAGAGAAAATCAGAAGTAAAGTTAAGCCCAGGAAGAAGGGAGTGGTGGGAGGAAGGTGTTCTAAGGTTTGGTTTTACTTCTCATTTTCCTTGTTTTGATTTGATTTGTAGTAAATTAAATGAATTTTGTTTCTTCCCCAAGTTGAGTCTGTCTTTTGCCTGTGACGATAAGTGGTGAGTGATCCCTCCCTGTCCTTGTCTCGACCCACGAGCTTTTCTTTATATTTTCTCCTCATCCCACCAGGGCTGGTGATTGTCAAGCCAATGCAGCAATCCCAGTCAAATTTGGGACCCAGTAATTTTGTTAGAGACTATTTAAAGTTTCTAGCAATGGTCAGGAAACTAAGAATTCCTTCATGGGAGCTGCCTGATGTAGTTCAGAAAGCAGTCCCCTGCTGTTGTCAGACATGATGCTGTCACAGCTGAGATGCTCTTCCATTTCATGTTTACTCTTCTTGTCTGGGTCTCACAGCAATCCTTCCACGAGAAGCTTTCTTGCTGAGAGCAGGAGGAAAGAGTCCTTCTTGGCATCAGGAAAGTAATTAATCAAGATCATTGTTATGCTGGAAGTAACCCATCTTATCTCAAGAAGTTCATATGTCACTTGAAGATCCAAACACTCACTCCATACCACCTCCTGAACACAGGAGAAGGATTTGTGCTGCTTGACCTCCAAGATACATCTCTACGTATCTGTCACGCCATCTCAGGAGATGTGGGAGATCAAAACCACCAACAGGATAGACTATTATCTTCCAGTCACATGAAGTAATTTGACAGTGATCATAATATTCAAAGTGGTAGCAGAACACTTGCATAAAAGCAGTATTTGTGTACCTCTCCCAGGACAGCCAGCTAGCATAGATTTTCTAGTGAAGTTCGGTATGACAGATTATGCACACTCAACCTACTACAGAACTTGGTCTCCAAAAGATATGAACATACTGCAGGGAGTCCAGTGAAGGGCTGCAAAAACAATTAAGGTACTGGAGCACCTGTCATACAAGGAGAGGTTGAGAGAGCTGGGACTGCTCAGTCTAGAAAATAAAAGGCTCAGGCTCAACGTGCCTAAGTACCTGATGGGAAGGTGTAAAACACAGAGCCAGACTCTTAGTGGTATCCACTGAAAGGACAAGAGGCAATGGGCACAAAGTGGAAAAAAATACATTCAGTTTAAACATAATTTTCATTTATTTGTTTTTTAAACTGAGTGTGAACAAACATTGGAACAGGTTTCCCAGAGAGGTTGTAGAATCTTGGAGATACTCAAAAGTTGACTAGACACAGTACTGAGCAACCTGCTCTAATTGACCTTGCTCTGAGTAGAGGTCATTTCCAAGCTCAATGATTCTGTGAAGTAGCAAAATCCCTACGGATATGTACTTCTCTGGCACAGATTATCAGGTAAGATCCTCCTAGTGATGTGATGAACCTGAACCTGCCAAGAATCCACAAATCCCACAGCCAGACTCATTGCTTTCAATTTCCCTCAGCAAAACATGTTTGCAGAGACACTAAGAATGAAAAGCTACTTGCTCTCACAAGAGCTGGAGTTTGATACATATTGCTCATATGTATAATCCACCTCTCTCCTCCTTTGCTCCAGAATCCTGCACACATAGAATTTCACAGTTAGGTGGAAAAACATGCTCTGCTAGCATAAAAAGGTGAGGAGTCCACAAGACACAGAAACACCACACGGTTATTAGTGGTTGAGTTTGTGAACAGTGCAATGTACATATGGACAGCACATTTAGGCAATATCTGTTTTTTAATTACTAACTTTCATTTTCTGAAGTGTACTGTAAAATGAGCAGAATTTCTGAGGCAGAAAGGACAGTAAGACAAATCTTTTCTTCATCAGTCTGAATTCTAACTCTCATCAATGCATCATAAAAGCAAGGCTATTTTTAACATGCTTGTTTTACTCAGTGTTTCTTGCTCATAGGTTTACATAGAACTACTTTACTACTTTTCTCCACTGGTAAACCTCACTAATAGTATAGACAAGGGAAATAAAGGTAGTTTCTAGGCCATCATGGGGAAAAAAAACATCATTAAAACAAATCACCTTTTCTTCCATACTGTCCTTCAATTAATTACATGCTAATGCATTTTAGTCTTAGTTTGCAGGTGTTACCAATTGCCAGTAGAGTACTGTGACATGAGGTGGGCTTAGCCAGCATGTGCATAAATGACATACATTTAAGGTATTATCTTCCTAATTCTCGTTTTGGATTTACCAAAAGTCAAGGGGGCTTTCAGTTTTCTAAGAGGCCATTGTCACAAAGGGCAAGGTCTCCTCAGCATGTGTCCAAAATAAATGGATAGTCCTAAAAGTAATGGGAAAAGTAAAACAAGTCTCTGTAGACACAAGGCAACCTGCCACCCACCCAAGTCAGAGAAGCAAAACATAATGCTGTTACTCAAGCTATGGCTGTAATGATCCCATTCACTTCAGTTCTATCAGCATCAATCCTTTCTGAAATAAACCCAAGAGAAGCCGTGACTATACAATGTAATACCTTTGCTTTTAGTAGCTCATTGTCTTACTTGGCAAGATGTTTGATAGCCCACCTAGCCTGGCAGTCTTATGCTTTGTAACTACAACTTTATTCTGCTTTGGAGATGAAAAATTAAAGTTGTTCTTAAAATATTGCACTTAGAAGATACAAAGAATTCTAGTATAAAGTTGCGGTCATAGTATTAGCTTTTAAAATAAATTAGACAGAAAGTAGATTAGCAGCACAAATACGTATTTTACATCCTTCCCCCTCCCGGCCCTGACATCCATAGTCATCTGTGAGTCCTGAGATCACCACCTCCGAAAATTAATATATTTCATTGGTTTTGCACCAACACAGCACGTATTTTCATTTCACAAAACTTCCATTTGTTTGGAATTTGAATCTGTTGTTTCAGGAAACTCTTTAATTCCTCAGCTTACCAGGGAATGGTAATGGCACCAGCAGTACAGCCCTCCTCATGGTTCAGTGAATGGCAGCAAGAAGTCAGGTCCACTAGAGGCTTTCCTGGATCCCTGCCAAATACATGTGGGTTTTTGGTCTCTTCTCCCCCAGAACTGCCAATTATTAGTTTGTGATGCAGGATCATATTTAAGGCATTATAACAGACATAACCAAAGGAACTAACTTCAATTAATGTATTTCCATAATGAGATGAAGAGAAAACAGTTCACTGGATTAAAAAAATAGTTTGAGTGAAAGCTGTTGATCAAAAAGCAATTTCCCTAAAAATTGTTACTAATGAGAAGTGAGGCACCTTAAGTTCACAGCTGCTAGAGAAGCAGACTTTTCCCACCACCACCTTTAATAAGAGTTGCTGGTCTCTGAGTTTTGTGCTTTTTTTCAGTCCTTCTTTGCTCGACCTTTGAAGCTATCCATGACATGGAGGATTCCAAAATAGTCCACAAGGAGAGCGACCGCTTTCACTGGTAGGAGACTGTAAGGTAGGGGAGTTGAAGAAAAAGAGAAAAAAACAAAAACAAAACAGAAATCAGAAGAGATGTGCAGTTTTATCACAGAATTAGTTTTACCTGGCTAATACTGGCAAAGACAGTATATTCTATAGAATATAGTACTGCTGGTCCTCTCAAAATATCCATTACACTCATTTGGCAGTCTGAGTTATTAGACAGATCAATTTCCCAACCTGGCTTGCAACAGAGTCATAAGTGCCCTAATGCTGGAGCAAGACACCAGATAGGCAGTTACTGAGGAGCAGGCCCAGTCTCTACATCCCACAGTAAAACTGCACCCCAGTGGAGTCAGCAAGTCACAGCCAGACATTTCTGTCATTGTTCTGTGGTCCAAGGGTAGACTGAACCCCTAAAAACAAAAGAAAGAAAACTCCAGAAATGTGTAGAGCTTAATGAAAATTCACACCAACGAGTAGAACCCTGGTTGGCACTTTTAGTCAAAAACATAGCTGAAACATCCCTGGACAGAAAAGAAAAAGGAAAACGAGGAAAGGCATAACTTACTGTTTCAAAATCAACAAAAAATAGGCACTGCGTGGTAAGAGCAATATTTCTTGGTCCTGCCGAACAGCAGTGACTATCTTCTCAGCCACATATTCTGGCTCCAGAGATGGAAGCAGATTTGGCCATCTGGAATAGATTTCTTACTATAATATGAATTGCTTTGGATTCACATTTTACTCAAAATAAGTCTCTATTTTGCAGTTATTCAACTAAAAGAAGAAATAAATACCACAAATCCTACGAACAAGACCCTTTGTTATGTTAGAGAGTGAGTGGCCATTGCTATTTTCCCTTTGTATGATCTCTCATAAGACAAATCCACATAGTCCTCATATTAAGACACACTAGGCTTTTACACAGCGCCTAAATTTTATTGTTATATAAGCATACTGAGCAAAGCTATGCCACTGATTTCAGGAAGTGAATGGGGGTTTAGAAACCAGAATGGACAACCGGAGCATTTGGCTTCTGCCGAGGAAGGGACACCAATTAAGTTTCATGTTTCAGCTTAAATGAATAGTAAAGTACTGAGAGCTTTGCCATTTTGGTTGCCTAGTCACTGGATAGCACTGTTAACACACATCTGAGGTCCTAAAAATAACACAAGCAGAGAAAAGCCTAGCTCATGATTTTCATAAAGTCGAGTACCTAACATGCTAAACATGCAAGTTGCATAAAAACCTCACAAGAGTTTACTCACTTGGACCTACAGCCATCAAACATTCCTGTGTTTATGATGCAAGGACACACAACTGTGGTTTTAACACCAGTTTTTCCCAGATGTCTCATCTCAAAATGAACTGACTCTGCAAAACCAACTGCTGCAAATTTACTTGCACAGTAATCTGTAAAATAAATAAAACATTAATTGCAGTTAAACATTTTAATTTACTAATTAAACTTTACTAAACAGGTTCAGTGAGTCCTACCACTGAACACGTACACAGGAGCGGTAACAGTTTTTGACAGAGAACAGGGACAAAACTATGCTCTAGTAGGTAAAGTAACTAGCTTTGTTTGTTGGTTTGTGGGTTTTTTTTTCTTTTTACGGTATACAACAGTAGCACTATGGTATAGGAAAGATATATACACAGTACCTGCAGGAAATTACTGTCCAATAATAAAATACTTTACAACAGAGGAGGAACTGTATTCAGTTCAGATTAGGTTACTGATAAAATTTGCCTTTGATGGGTATTCACTCCTTTATTTTCCCTCTCCTAAGTTAATTGTTCTAGACTGGCAGACAGAGGGTTTCTCGTTGCAGCCCTGCTATCACCTTTCCACTCTCTACTGAACAACAGCAAATGAAATTACCTTTTCATACCAGACCTTATCTTTGAATCCATGCACTAGCTTCTTATGCATCAAGCTTTCAAGACTCTAATACAGTTTCAACCTGAAACTCAATTTGTCTTCATTATCACTGCCTTGAAGCTAGATTTCTTTTACTGCTACATCACCTGTCCTGGTTTTGGCTGGAATAGAGTTAATTGTCTTTCTAGTAGCTGGTACAGTGTTATGTCTTGGATTCAGCATGAGAAGAATGTTGGTAACACACTGATGTTTTCAGTTGTTGCTAAGTAGTGTTTAGTCTGAAGTCAAGGATTTTTCAGCTTCTCATGCCCAGCCAGCAAGAAGGCTGGAGGGGCACAAGAAGTTGGGAGGGGACACAGCCAGGGCAGCTGACCCAAACTGGCCAAAGGGGTATTCCATACCGTGGGATGTCATGTCTAGTATATAAACTGGGGGGAGTGGGGCTGGGAGGATTGCCACTCAGGAACTAACTGGGCATCAGCCAGCAGGTGGTGAGCAACTGCATTGTGCATCACTTGTTTTGTATATTCCAATTCTTTTATTATTATTATTGTAATTTTATTATTGGTATTATTTTCATAATTATTTTCTTCCTTTCTGTTCTATTAAACTGTTCTTATCTCAACCCACAAGTTTTACTTTTTTTTCTGATTCTCTCCCCCATCCTACTGCAGGGCAGCAGGGGAGTGAGTGAGCAGCTGCGTGGTGTTTAGTTGCTGGCTGAGGTTAAACCACAACATCACCTTAGTTCATTTTGCTCCCCCTTTGCATACGTTTACCAGAAATGCCTTCTGAGTTTTCCCTAATCTCAACACTTTCTTTCCATCACTGTACGGGTCCTCTTGAATGAATGGCTGAGACAGAGAATGCAGAATGAGATATTGCACCACTGCCTCCGTACCACACCTGGATTTTAGTAGTTCTTTGAGTTCGGGAAACCTGTACAGGACTCTGCTTCGCTTGAGAACATGCTTGCCAAAAACAAAAACAAACAAAAAAACCCCACAAAAACAAAAAGTGGCCTCTTCCACACCAAATACCTGTAGGTTAACTTTAATAACACTGAAATTCTCAGTTTGTAAAGTTCTATATGGCTCCTAGATTCTCTAACTGCCTTGGCAGAAAAACCTGTTTCACAGCACTGCTGAGCATCTGGAAAACTCTTTTGAAAGAAATGGTCTATTTAAGGTCAGCTAGTTTGAAAGTACGACCATTTGCTTTACCTATACGCAAAAGACCTAGAAACTCAAAATTAGGACTTTTTTCCCACGAGTATTGATTGCAGAGTTTAAATCAAAATAATTGTCTAAATGAACATTAGCTTTAATACACTACCTGAAAGGCAATTGATTCCCATCAGTCCCGCTAAGCTTGCAATACTAACCAAGTGCCCATGGTTAGAGGCCATCATCGCTGGGAGGAAGGCTTTGTAAGTCTGCAATGTAAGTCACAATTGCAAAGAAACATTTTACTAAGCAAGCTACATGCTATAATATTTTGAAGGTGTTGTTTTTAAAGAATTTCTCTCTACAGTTTAAATACGCTTCCCCCCTTCCATTATGGAAGGGGCAGGGTGGGGGGAAGGGTTTGTTGTTTGAACTCTAGCCTTCATGTACTAAGCTGGGACTTCCCAGGGCCCACCAGTACCACTTTCTCCTCAACACCAAAGACAGACGGTAACTTGCTAGCTGTTAAGTTTCTTTTAGCCTAAAGCTCAGCACTGCAGTATTTCAAATCACTGCACGTTTTGTAAAATAGCAAAAATTTTAATTTCATGTCTTCATTTAATCTTTGTGATTAAATTTATTTATGAAGAAACTGAAACATGTTTTAATATCTTCTTTGCAATTCTTTATGATAAGAACACAATATAGACGACCTGCCTTCCCTGGAAGGAAGAAAAGGCACATTAAGTTACTCATTTTGGACAAAAGCCCCACTTATTATTAAGAGCATTGTCTGAACATGTAGTATTTCTTACTGAAACTATCATAACCACAAAGCAACTAGAACACTAACAGAACTGAACACTTCTCCGTTACTAGAGCAGCAACTTTTAGGCTGGGCCTGCTTCATGTCAATTAATATTGAGCCATTATAACATATGACTAGCTTCAGAATTTAGCAGATGGTAAACTTTAGTTCTTAAGAACATTTCTAAATATGTAACAGTTTTGCTTCCACCTACCTACTGCAGAAGTTCCCAAAGGATCCATTCTTTCACCCTTTTTTTATTTTACAGACTCCCAGGAATAGAAAGTAATTTCTTGTATCATTTCTGACTGAACTTACAAGGAGCTATACATCCTTGCATATTTTCCTCCGTTCCAAAAGGCAAAATTAACACTGAAAACATGTTGAAAGGATGTTTTAGTATGTATATGCAAAGAACAGGTATTACCCAGAAGTGTGCCATTATGTTCACTTCCAAGGTTTTTTCCACAAGTGAATCTGGAGAATCAATAAGCCTCTTCCCAATTACGGTACCAGCATTGTTGACTAGGATGCTAACATCCCCAACTTCTTTTTTAACCTAAAAAAAAGCCCCAAGATATTATGTAATAAATACAAAACATGCTTTCCAAGTTTTATACATGACAACATAAGAAATAGAAATATTGCACATTTCAACTAAGTTGACCTTATTATGCTTGTTACAGATCCAAACACCTCAAGGTTCTTGCACCTTTTAGGAGGCCTTTTTAGAGCGGAGCTTGCAACTGGATTCCTTTGGAGGTGTGGAGCCCAACAGCTCCACACAGACTTCTGCTTTCAACACCTCTGGTTCTTGCTGCATCTGTTCCAGATAAGTCTCTATTGCAGAGAGCTCAACTAACACAACAAGTATTTTGCTACAGTAAACCCATCTTAAAACCAATGAGCAATTCTGTTTGTAGGGCCATTTCCATACCATGCAGTGAGGCACAGTACATAAATCCTCCGGCAAGTTCCCCAGAATCAGGTACATCAAATCTATGAGTGCTGCAATACCTAAACTCTAACTTGTGACGTTCTTTGCATTATACTCAAATCCTCTAGTGTTTTCCACAGAGCAACTTGAGCACAGAAGCAGTGCTGCCATATGACTTGAAGGCTGAAGCCAGCTTGCACAGTACTTGAGTCTTCTGATAAGCAGAAGGAAAACTGGATTCCCTGTTGGTAGTGTTAATTACCTACATCCTCAACAGTCCAGGGATTCATCTCTGCCACTGCATGGGGCAGAAGCTACTTAGTAGCATCTTAATATTTCAGATATTTCAAAATTCTGCATGCTGTTTTCCACATGCTCCACTTCTCCTGACTGCAATTGTTAAACACTGACATGTATTACAGTAGTTTTTCCACTAGTGTTAATTTCACTTGCATTCCACAGCACACACATTAAACCAGACATCCTTACAGCTTTCCGGGGAAGCAGATGCATTTTTCTGCCCTCAGTGTATTGGAATTAGAATGGGCAAATGGTCACTTTCAATAAGAAGTATTCCTCATATGCACAGGCAGTGAGAAAGACCACCTGTAAAATTCATTTCCTCCTTACAACCTTTTTATTTATTCAACTATCTTGACTATTTCAAGCAACTTTACAGGTCAGGAACTTAAAAGCTTATATTCCCAAACAAAAAGGTTTTGGTTTTTTTTTTTGTTGTTTTTTTTAACAAGTTTATTTCTCATGAAGACAACCTGAAAGAGCACTGTGTCTCTATTCATATTGACTCTCAGGACAACACAAGAAATGAGAAAACTGTAGGAAGGGTAGTTATTTGTTATGAAAATTAAACAAAAGTTGTAAGGTTCTAAATAAAGGAAGATTTTAGGACACATGCACTCACAGAAGGCAAAAGCCATATGAGCTTCTATGGCTCATGGTACAGAAGCTTGTTTCTAGTGTATCTACTTCAATTCTAACACTGTACCAGAATCCTTATAAGATGTCTCCCAGAAAATAAGTTGGCTAAAGAATAATATCTACACATTTAGTTCAGTAAGAGAAAGTATAGTTCTCATTTTAGCTCTAGACTGAGAACTTTCATGAACAGACTCACCTGGAAGAACAACTATAGGCCAGCTGATATCAAGATATTGTGCCAGCTCTCAAAAGGAGAATGAAAATATTTAATGCAGTATTTGAAGGATGGTTCATTAATCTGAGCTATCTGGGAAAAAGCAAATAAGTACTCTATATGTTGTTTAACTTGTGATTTCCAGATCAAGTGCTAAACGTGCTGATCAGTAGTTTTGGGAAAACATGTTGGTTTTATGCCATCTTGCCATACAGTTGCAGATCACAGAACCTCATTTCTTAATGGTGTTTCCTTTGCTGGGTGCCTACACTGGCTGAAGAAAGCACAAGCAGAGCTGGCAGCCTAGCCTGTATAACAGTAAAGAATTAAAGGATAATTTACCACCTATCCTTTATTCTAGCTTAAATTCCTCATCTTCCTTAAACTTGTTCCAATCTTGTCCATGTTTGTTAAGTAAGGGTTTAAAAAACAGAAAGCAGCCTTGGCAGGATTATACAGTACAGCTTTTATAATAAATTCATCAGCCAGAGCCCCTCTCCACCTAGGTCATTGCTCACACATTCTTGTCTGCCTATTTCCCTTTCAAAATGTTGTCACGTAACAATTTAAATATTTCTGAAGCAGTGCCACATGGTCTCCATAGGCAGCCTTAGACAAGCTGTTCTAGTCACCAACCTGAGTATGTACCCCTCATCACAAGTTTAAAATAGTATGCAGAGACATAAATGTAATAATTAATAAACAACGCTTTAATACTGCCTTGTGTTAAATGATCTAGCAATTCTGGAAGGCTGGACCAGTACCCCAAATCTACCCTTCAGGGCAAATAAATACCTGAATAAGTGGTCATGCTTCTTTTGTGCAAACAAAAGATGGACAGAGGTGAGGGATGTGGTACATACAGTTTATAACTTGGTGATTGGGGCATTCGGGTCAGATGCAAGAAGGGAAATGAGAACAGAACCTTGATCATCCCATTTCTAACTAGTGGCAAAAACCTCAAGAACCTCTTCCTTTACCACCTGTCTCTACTCAATCTTCCAAAATATATTCATGCTTTGGATGGAATTCAAAGCAGATTTGAGTGCCTTCTTGCAACCCAGACAAATAATTCCAGCTTTACAACATCTCTGTTCATGCTGCTTCCCTACTAACTAGATGTGGTGGTTCTTTCCTAAGCAAATTGGCTGTTTTAATTCCCTTCTCTTCTCAGCTCTCCTCTGTGCATGACAGAGCCAAGACACCCAGCCCAGGCTTCCACACTCTGCTTTGAGGCCAAGTACAGAAGACCTTTACTAAGCCTTCTCCCTAGCTATTAAGAGGGGTGGGGGGGGTAATGTCAACTCTCCAGAGCTCTAAACCTCTCCATTTGTGCAGTGCAGCAAAGTATGTTGCAGGTGCTTGTTTTAGTCCTAGGTAAGGCAAGCATTATGGAAACAGCTGATCTGGTTAAACATCTTTTTCAGGTATAAACACTATTTTCTGTTTGTTTCTGCATTTATATTTATGCTTTTCTATTGAAGTTTAGTAGTGAGCAATTCTCACAATTCCCAAACAGCATTCCAAAGCGTCTGCTTTCTAAGAACCACAAGCCCCTCCGTAACTGCGTATAAGAGGTGGAAGAAAGCACTGGATATTTTACAGGCAGCATGAAATACCACCAGGAAATGTGCTTCTACTATTGCTCCTCTGCACAGCAAAGAGGATTCTCAGAAAAGTGGAAAACTGGCTGCAAACTGTCATCTTGACTAACAAGCAAGAAAAAACTGTGGATAAGCAAAAAAGTACCATGCAAGAGGGATCCTGGAAGTAAATGTAAGCCCAAATGCAATTTTGCAACATGATGAGGGAAAGGCTTCCATTTCCTCACAAGTAGGAGGATCAAAACCCAGAGTTACTTCTCTCTTTCAAAGCCCTAGATTCTTAAAGTTTAGCTGAACTTGAGGGAAGGAGGGGTAGGTCAAAGAAGGCCACATTCCTTTTGGGGTTGGGTACTTCTGGAACAGGAACATTAGAAATAAATTTTAAGCTATAGCTCTTGATAGCCAAAAGCTGTCCTTCATGTTGTTGGTACAGGAAAGGAACAAGGACACCACATGTGCAGGGCTTTTTGGTTTTCCTCCTACTGAAGTGACTTTTTCCTAGTCTCTCTGTGTGGCTGATGAAGTACCAGAAGCAGGTATTTAAGGTTCACATACATTTAATTTTGGCTTTGAGATTGTTTTACTGGGCACAAAGTTTTCAACCATATCCTGCCCTGCCTGCATGAATTTAGTTCGCTATAGTCTTGCAAAACTCCAAGTCATTGCATGAAGCTGAACCACCAAGGGGGGGAAAAACAGAACCTGGAACGGTGCTGCGTCACCTTGCAAAGGCTGACAGTGAACACTATGAGCCAAAGTCTACTATACCATATTAAGTAAACAGTGGCACCAGGCACTAATGCTAAAGTCTTTCTGTCACTAATAAGATGGGAAAGTTGTCAGCAGGACATGACATTTCTGAAATAACAGTAGTAGGGTATTTTCTTCTATATGGATCAACAGGAGGATTATTAGTGGATCAGCTGTTAGTGAACTGCTGACAGAAACTTATAAGCGAGGAATCAGGCACAGAGACCCTCTTAACATTTCTTTGCTACTGTCTACCTCTGTTTTTATCATCCCTAACCTCTGTCACACACATATCTACACCCTCTTCTCCTTTTTATATTTGGCCAGAAAGGCTCTGCTACTGCTTTTCTCCATGGGACTGAAGTGCTAGCCCTTGAGTCCTCAGAACTGAAGGTTAGTTTCCATCTTCTTCATTTCAGTGTCCTTCACATTACAATACTCCCTCCTCCTCCACTCCTCCCAGTTCAGTGGGAAGCAGTTACAGGCCTGCACTGAGACACGTGCAACTGCTCTGCAGGGATGGCAGATGTGCAACTCAGCTGGCGTAACAGAGCTGCAAGGGGGACCAAGGGTGATTAGCATTACAGCATTACCAGAATACAAAACCAATAGTACCAGCCTCTAACAAGCTGCAAGTCACGCACAAGCTTCACTTATCAGAAAATTTGTTCTAGTCATTTTTGCACAGATAGAAAAATGCAGAAGGTTAGAGCTTCTTAAACAGCACCAAAAGAGGAACATTATTTCAGCCAACAGATGTTCCTGAAGACAGCTGATTTTTTTATTTTTTTATTTTTTTTTTAAAGAATTCATCCTCAGGCAAACACTCACTGTGGAAACTTTCTAGTCCAACAGTTAAGTTTAGCAACATTTTAAGCAAATGAGAACAGGTTGTTATAATGGAAACTGTTAAGCATTTTTAGCTTTTGGCAATTCTACTAGTCTGCCCAAAATATCTAACCACATGCTATATTTACAAAGCTCTTCAGAAAGGAAAGTAACAAGTATTTAAGACTCTAAGATACATTTATTAATTCTGATAAAGTGAGTCTGCAAAAATCTATTCATTGCCATGGAATTATTTAAAAATTGCCTAAAGAGTTAATAATTTTTTACAATGTATGGTCTTTAGCGTTTACTTTTGGTAAAAGACTGCCAGAACGTGAAATACTGCTTTAGCTTCAATAAATTGATTTTCTGCACTTCACCAGTAAGTGCTTGCTCAGTAACTGAATGAATGAGAAGCTACCCATCTAAATTAGCTACTGAAAGAGAGAACCAGCTCTTTTTATTTTTAAGAGAACAGAGGTATACAAGTCAACTCTAAAAAACAGTATTCTTGAAACGGGTAGCATGTGAAATACATTCTGAATGAATTAACTTTAATCTCTTGTTTTGAAGGGACTAAAACTTAACCATACATGCATGCACTCATCTTAGAATAGCCTCAAAGCCACAAATAAAGATACTTTACCTGATCAGCTACTCTGTAGACCTCCTGCCTTTTGCTACAGTCACAGATGTAACAGTGTACTCTCACTGCTCCATTTTCTCTGGCCAGTCTACTTGTCTCCTTGAGCCCCTCTTGATTAATGTCCCAGAGAACCACTGTGGCTCCAAGGCCGGCAAACTTCAACGACAAGAATCTTCCAACGCCACTTCCTGCTCCTGTTATTAATACTATTTCACCACTAACATTCTTCTTCCGTCTAGGCACAACCAAGAACACTAGGGACTCCAGCAAGTAATAAAGAGAAAGTGCAATGACTTTCAATGTTTCCAGGAAGAAGTTCATCTTCAGGCTGTTTCTTCAGATACCTGATGAAAGAAAATGTTTACCAGATAGAATAAATCATAAAGAGAGAAAATGCAAACATCAGTATTTCAAAATTGAAAAGCATTTTCAGATCCATTCTAAATACTTTCTCTAGCCTGCTTCTGTGTGGTGTTTCAAAAAAATACAGATGCTTACATCTGCACATCTGACCCATTTGTCCTGTTTCTGCATCATCTCTAGGTTGCTCCCACTCTTCTCCAGAATGCAGCACAATTGATTTACCATTGGGCAGAGGCAGGAAACACCTGCCTTCAACTGCTTTAGAAACTCCCCACCCCTCACATAATGGGTTTCCATCTCTGCTCTGACAGAACATGGACTCAAAAACTATAATCAAAAAAGTGATAGTTGCCCCTTGAGCACCTTAAGCAGAAACACATGGCAATTGCAAATCAAAACTTATGGATTGATCAAACAACTTTAGTGCTCACAAGCTAGTACTTCAGGTCAGGAAAAATTCTCCTTTTAGGACCACAACTTTTTTTGCTTTGTAGGCATTCCTTATTATCAAGAAATCATATGCAGACCAAGTCACAGTCTCAACCCTGCTGAAAAACTGCCAGCATAGGGAGCTTCAGAATACAATATGCTTATAAATGTCCAAAACACACCAGGTAAATTACTGGCTGTCACTACTAGCTTTTCAACTACCAGCACTACCATTATTGAGGAAAGCCTGCTTTTGCAATTGAACAGTGTGTTTTGTTTAGCAACGCATTGCAAAGCTGTTGGCTTTCTTCTGTTCGCCTCCCTGCTTTAAGCAAATGTCAAGGGCCTGAATCATACCATCTCATGTATGTGTTTAACTTCACAGTCTGTACTCATCACAGTAATGCTGACATCAAGCAGGCATTTAAGTCCTTGAAAGAATGCCATTTATTTCCCAGTATACAAATGCTATGGAAGAAATGCACCCTTGGTCAAAGCAGGTTTTAATCTTTGACTAACTACAGTATGAAGGATTAGTACCTTCCTTCCTAGCTAAAGGTAGAGCACGCTGGCACTTACATTTCAACCTTTAGCACTACGAACCCAGTTTGATCACATCTCTTAGGTAACATTGCTATCTATGTGTATAGGTAATCATGTTTGACAAGTGCCAAGAGATAAGTTACTTAGATCTCTGCTACTCTGAGCAAAGTTCATGAAATTTAACATGTGGACATACCCATGTTATCATGAGTCTCAGGTTTTGTCCATGGGAAACAAGGCCAGCCCTGAAAAGGGATAGGCCACTGCTAGAACAGTGCAAGCTATTTCAGAAACTTTTCTGGCAGAAACATAGTGGGTAGGGAAACAAGTTCTTCTTTCTGAAGAAGAGTCACAGGGTGAATGTTTTCTGTTCTTTGTTCCATTTAAAATGGGACAAAAAGCATGCAGAGGTTCTGGCACAGACACAAGGCAGTAGCACCAGTAAGAAATGGAACAAAAATCTCAAAACAGCACAGCAACATTTTTCTAGAGCCAATATTGACATCTCCTGTAATAAGCTCTTATAGCTATAGAGCTACTACAAATATAAGCAAAACCAGAGTAATACAGGAAAAGTGTTATTAAAATTTCATGTACATCAAAAAACCAGCAAGTTTTTGGAAACACAAGTTCCTCGCTGGGTCTAAAACAGAAGCAACATATCTTTAAAATAAATGAAGTTGCTGAATTTAACTTGATTACACTAACTCAATGCACTTAACGCAACATCCTCCATTTGTGTAAAAGGAGATTGGCATCTCTGGAGTAGATAAGGATGTTACAGTAAATGCCTATGGAAAGCAATTGCCTTCGAAGTATAGTACACAATTTGACCTAAACCCAGTTTAGAACTTATGTCAGTAATTTATTAGGTAAAATAATCACGTCTTAGGCTTGCACGGGACAGAGGCACACTATATCTCAGAGCAGTACTGACTTTCTCTTAGAGAAGTAGAGTTGTTTTAGGCACATCGATGGGGTGCTTAATTTCCAGTGACACATCTTGCCTAACCCAGATCTGACTGGGCCAAGAGTCCTCCATTCTCACTGGCTCCCTGCATTAGTACCGCTAATTACACCAGCTACTGTGACCAACCACATCCACACGGACAATTAAATCAGCCAACACGCTTGGCTGATTTTGGCTCCTCAACGAAAGTGATCAGGGATCTACTTAGAGATGAATTAACCAAGGGTACCTTTGGCACACCTAAGATCTCGGGCACACTCACACAGACCTAAGCGTGGAGGGCTTTTATACTGTAGTGAAGTATCAAAGGGTTTACAACGGCTCATCAGACAGATTTCTTTTCAAGCGCAGACAGCTTTGCCAGCGCAGACTTTTTGGTACACGTGCTAACGCTGAACAGCCGAGCGGCCCTTGCAGACTGCCTGTGCTGACAAAACTCAAGGAGAGAATCGAGGCTAGCATCTGAACCTCAAAACACCTCTGTGCTAGCCAAAGAGGTTGATTAACGGTGGATCACGCGATCCCCTGAGCAGAGTTTGGCGAGCACGCCTTTGCTCACTGCATCTGGAGGGTTGCGACCCTCCCAAAAACACAGTGGTCCCGCAGCCGAGGCGGTCCAAGGACCGAGGTGTAGCAACACCTTCCTCACCGCCTGGCAGGCGCCGGACAACCTTACCCTCGCTTGGCACACCTCGGCCGCTAACCCCATTAGCGTCATTAAAGAGCCCCACCAAACCAACCACAGCACGCCACGGGCGGTTTTCTGCTGCGGCGACCAGCTCCCCGGCCCCGGCCCCGGCCCCGGCCCCGGCCCCGGGCGGGGGGGTGCCGGTGAGGGTGCTCGGCCCCCTTAGCTCCTCGCTGAGGCCGGGCGAAGGGCTCTAAGGACGGAGCAGCTCGTGGCGCGGGGGCTCGCCTCCGCTTTCTCTTAGTTCCCTTTTTTTTTTTTTTTTTAAAAAGCAGTTTTTGTAACTGGCTTTTGATTTTTCCGAGGGAAGAAATAACTTCTCTTGGAGCGGTGATCGACTGGGAGAAGACGGATTTCGTGCGGCTGGTCTAGACCCGTGTTCCTGCAGGAATTGGCCTCGGTGGGCTGCGGGGGGAGCGGGGAAACGAGTGTGGCTGCTGGAGGGGTGGTACTGTACTGGGGGAGAGGAGGGCGCCGCGTTTGGCTTCCGAGGACGTTTGGAGAAACCTGTTGGGCTTAGGGACGTGTAGGATTTCGGGAAGCCCCTGAAGAAGCCGCTGCCCTTGGGGTGGTAGTCGGTCCGTGCGAAGAGACCTGCTCCTCAGGGTACGCTTGGGTGTGAAGAGATTACCTGGCCTGTAGGGCTAAACCTGCCAGGAAGGGGCTTTACCGGGGTGAACATGGCCCTTCCAGGGTGGCGTCATTTCAAGGGAATGAACGAGACTTGAGGTCGCAAAACGTCTTCTAGCTGTAGTCAGAAGTTCACTACGTCAGTGAAGTGCTCTGTATTTACTGCTACAGATACTTTCATTCCCTAGAGCAGCATTGCTTTGCAGGGTTTTTTTAACCTTACGCTCATCCTTAGGCAGCAGAACGCCAATACTGTAAGGCACTGAATATTCACAACTTAAAGTCCGTATGAGGAGGGTGTGCTTAGTACCACCAGAAAAAATACGACTGAAGGTATTTTCTTGGCACTGAGATCACTAATACACCTCCTTTGCAGATTGGTATGTTTGCATTGCTGTTATCCTTCTGTAGAAGTGTGAGAACACAACTTTCTGAATGTTGTTTTCATCTAATGAAATAAGCAAGCACTTATGAAACACTAGATTTAATACGCTGCATAATAAAGAATATGAAACAGCAATTCATAATGTAAGGTTCTTTAGGCAGCTTTAAAAATCTGCCATTTGATCCAGTAATCTCTGAAGAAATTTTAAGAACTCCCTGTGCACAAACACTTTCACAGACCAAGGATGGAGAGCACACCTGGCAATACATACCGGTGAGGGAGCAGGTTGCTTTACTTGCTGGCTTGCCTTGGAGCAAATGGCTCCCCAGAGTCAAAAAGAGCAGTGGTTTGAAAGGTGCTGTGCAGTTTAAATAAATACTTTTCTTGCTTCCCCTGCACATTCTATTTAAAGTATTGTTGCAAGAGGTCAAAAGGTCTTTTCTTTCAGGTATGCAGTCTTGGGTCAGAGTCTAGGCTCTCAACTATAGACTCTGCTGCACCCTCAACAGTTATTCACAGAAGAGAAATTAACTGCTGGATTAGAATATTTTAGTGGGAGTTAATGTATTATTGCATTAATACAGAAAATTCGGGAGGCTAATGATAGCCAGACAGTGACACTGATGAAATTTGGGTTTGGCTGCTGCTTTCTTATTGTGGATTGTATTGTTTACAGTGGCTCGCTTAAAACAAGGAAACGTAAAAAAACCAAACGCATTCAAAAAGGTTTAAATAAAATATGTGCTTTGTAGTAATACTTGGAAATTAATAACGTTTAACATTGAGACTGACCTTGTGATCAGAGTTGGAGACTAGAAGGTGGGAGACCTGGGTCCTTTCCCCAGCTTGTACAAAGACTTCCTGCGAGTAATAAACTCACTGAATAAAACTTGCTGAAATAAAACTCACCAAATATCTTGAGTTTACTGTTTTGTATGATGAAAGGCTAAAATTAGCCTTAAGGTAAAGAAACCCTTTTTAAGACTGTCAAATTAGCGTCTTCCACAGTCTGGGGTCAGAGAAGACCCAAGTGGAATTATTACTCTTGATTCAAGTCCAGAAATGAAACTACCCTAATTTGTATTAGATGAGGATGTCTCCCTCTTGTCACACATCATTTTTGGACCAATTTGTGAGTGCTGGTAAAATCCCAGGAGTGCAGAACTAGGACTGGCGTCGTTCGTGCATTTTGCGTAACATGCTGGATGTTTTCAAAGGAACCCAAGGTCATTCAAGTCATAAGAATTTTGAGGAACTTTGTAAGTGCTCTCACTTTTGCTTGTCTGTAGTACATGTGCTACGTAAGTATACCGCTAGTCTGTACCCATCTTTTACC